ATGGGTTGCTTAGAAGTGAGGCTGAGACCTATCTTGCAGTTGCTTATAGGTCTCAGCTCAATTCACAAGAGTTTTCTACCTATCAACGTTCGCTGTGGTAAATTGCAGGGGTGATGTTTTGTCTTTCTTCTCAGGCAGGTCTGGTGTTGACAGAGCTACTCCTGCACCTGGAGGACGTGTTGTTTGCAGGTCACAGTGGAGTGGTAGTCAAAGATGGCCGAGCTGTGCCTGCGGAGCACTGACCAGCAGTCCGAGATGATGAAGACACTGCTGGTCGCCTTCCACGCCCAAGACGACCCCAATACCTGCATCCCGTTGTTTCTCACGCTCACTGCATACGAGGCGTACTTAGAACACGAGAAAAAGAGGGAGACTGACAAAGAGATACAAAGAGTCAGTAATTTCGTCCATCGTACTCTTTGATTGTTGCTGTGTTGATTTTTTGTTCGACAGAGAAGTGTGCATGTGCAGGGCTCGCTGCTGGTCCAGGCTCTTTTCAAGTACGAGAACCCGCGAGTTGTCGTTAAGAGTTTGCTGAGCATGGAGATGGACGATCTCATGTGGTTATCATGTGACGTTGCCGGCAGTCATGCCGTCGATGCATTCCTAAGTAGTTCCACTGTTAAATCTGTCAAGAAGAAAAAGCTTGTTGAGAAGATTAGGGTAAGGTGTCATTATCAGTAGCATATATAAGCCTAATGCTATATGCCTCTCTCTTTGCAGCCACAGCTTGTTCCACTCTGTAAGGACAAACACGGCAGTCGTGTGATGGACGCACTCTGGAGAAGCAGCGATGTCACCGTGAAAGAGAGCCTTGCCGAACAGCTTATCGCCCACGAAGCAGAACTAACTGAGGATTTCTATGGACGGATAGTCATGAGGAACTGCAATGTAGCTCACTACAGGAGGAAGCAGGCTGTATGGCAAGAAAAGGCACCCAACACTCTGGATCTCTTTGAAGATATTCTGGACGATGTGAATGCTCCCTCCTCAAAACGGAGAAAATGCAGCAACAGAGCCCTAGTTGAAGATAGCCTACCTGACCTACCAAGGAAGAAAAAGAAGAAAGCCTAGTATGTTTGTTTTTTGCGTGTCATGGTCAACATTGTGTATGCTAACTCCGGTGCGCGCGAATTAGACCTTTTCCCCAACCACGTGCTCCTAGTGAAGCTATGGCCGATGCCGAGGCTGCAGTGGATCTGGTGGACGGGCAGAAGCTAAGCAAGAAGTAGACTAACTTATAGAACCTGTGTCTTTACCTCTGTGATGTCTTCTGTCTTCCTCGCGGCTCGCAATGCGCGGAGTTACCGCCTTCTTCTCTACCGCTCCCTCCACAGCGCCCAAAAGCGCCTTGCGCGGTCTGAGAAAAAGTCCAAAGAGAAGGAGGAAAAGCGAGCAGTTGCGGCTGCCGAGGTGAGACCGAGAGAGCTTTCTCAAGTATGAGCACAACTTGGTGTTGATCCCACACTAGGAAAAACCAACTTCTAAAAAGGTTGAAAAGGAGGATGAAGAGCAGATAGACCCAAATGTAAGCCACGTGTGTGTACAGTTATGCACAGTGTCAATGGACGAATTCACCCACATCCACAATGTGCGTTGTTTCGAAGCAAACTCGTGCTTTTCTGCAGCAATACCTGAAGCTGCGGAGCAATGCGGTCGCGGCTCTAAAGAAGACGGGGCCACACCCCTACCCTCACAAGTTTCACGTGACCACCTCTCTCATTGCCTTCATAGAACAGTACAAGGGTCTGGAGGACGGGGAGCACCATTCAGACGTCGTCAGTGTTGCAGGTGGGGCTTTTGTCTCTCTCACTTCCCTCTCCTCCCACTTCATCCCTTCCTGTTCCCCATGTGGATCTACTGTTACTACGTATATTTTCTCTGCCTCTCTCCCCCACTCCCTCCATTACCACTTTTTCTCCCTTCCTTCCTATCTCTGTATGTACTTCGCTCCACCCAGCTCCCTCTTTACCTTTCTGCTACATGTATTCATGGGCTCCCATAGTAGATTACCCATTGTAGCTACTTTCAATGTTCATTGTGCTGTGCATGTTCATAAAAACTGGCTGAATTTTGTATTCACAAAAAGTGTGGCCATTGGTATGGGAATATTATTTGCCTGTGTCCATAAAGGTAATCATGTGTGTTCCCAGGTCGAATCCATGCCAAGAGAGAGTCAGGCGCCAAACTAATATTCTACGACCTGCGAGGAGAGAGTGTCAAGATACAGGTCATGGCCGACAGCAGGTTAGTGATAGACTAGTGGTGTGTGAGTTTGAACGGGCTGTGTGCTCGTGTAGGAAGTCAGAGGAGGATTTTGAGGAAGTTCACAGTCGACTGAGGAGAGGGGACATCATTGGAGTGACTGGCTGCCTGGTCAGTAGATTGCCTGGTTACTTCATAAGGGGATATCTCAGTCGGCCCTGCTACTTACACCTAGCCAAACTAAAGAACCAACCCTTGTGATGCTGTTAACACAAAAACTCACAATTAGTGATATTATTATAGTGACTTTGAGAGTATATTGTGTAAGTTGTTTCTAAGTTTGCACAGCTGTAATGTAGTAAAGCTGGAATCTGCAAGCGTTAGTAGTGTGTTGTGTCCTGCAGCCAAGACGAAGAAGGGGGAGCTGAGTGTTATACCAAAGACCGTCACCCTTCTCTCTCCCTGTCTCCACATGCTGCCACGCCTCCATTTCGGTCTCAAGGACAAAGAGACTCGGTTCCGCCAGAGATACCTCGACCTCATCATCAACGAACACGTCAAGGAAAAGTTTATCGTCAGGTGAGCACGCTGTAGTTAACAGGTGAAGCAACCCTATGTACGGTATATAATATACCTACGTAATTATTCACGGGGTTCTCATTTTGTGTGGACCCTGGGCTTGGGCCGCCCATTTTCCAAAACACTAACACACTCTCCACACACACTCACACTCTTGGATAATTGGAAACTTGTATTTGTGGGAAAGATTTGGTTCCGACACTGGTCTGCCACGACATGAGCAAACATTCAAACACACACTAGTTTGCTAAGTGGTCCTCTCCCCACAAGTGTCTAGCTGCCAAATGTCCTTGTTTTTTATGGCCTTGTGGCTGATATTTGGTGGCTGTATATGTCGGCACCACAGAGAGTGTGTGTATCAAATTTTCCCAGAGCCAAGATCACCACTTACGTCCGTCACTTCTTCGACTCTCTGGGTTTCCTGGAGGTGGAGACTCCGCTGATGAACATGATTGCAGGGGGTGCCTCGGCCAAGCCGTTTGTCACGCACCACAACGAACTCAACATGGACCTCTACATGAGAGTGGCCCCCGAGCTATACCACAAGGTCAGCAACACACCAACAATTTAGTTAGCTGTGTCTGTCAGCTAGGGTTTTCACTCTCTCTGTCTTTACCTCTCATTCATTACGTGTATGCCTGGCGTATTAAGGGTTAACCTGCCGTTATGCTTGTGATGTTACTGTAGTTTAGAGATTGTTGTGTGTGTGTGTGTCACTGCAGATGTTGATAGTGGGAGGTATTGACCGAGTCTATGAAATTGGAAGACAGTTTAGAAATGAAGGTACACTAAAGGGGAAAAAACCTTGGGTGGCAAATAAAATTTCATGAGGAAAACGTTCGTGGACTGCTTGTCCCTCTGTATGAATGGTCCTCGTCCACAAGATTCTTTGTGGAAAAAACACTTTGAAGGGAATGTGGCAGTAGATAAGGGCTAAATTTAGAAGTGTTACTAAAGATAGAACAAAACAGAGCAAGAATGCCATTTTCAGTAACAGTTTCTAAATTTAGCCCCTATATGTTCAATTCTCCTTTGAAAGTTTCCATTGTTAAGGTGTATATAGATACTGCCTGAGGTTCAATATGGCATATACTGTATATAATGGCTCATTATTATGTTGTAGGTATTGACCTGACCCACAATCCTGAGTTCACGACGTGTGAGTTCTACATGGCCTACGCCGACTACAACGACCTCATGGAGATCACCGAGCAACTCCTCTCCGGTGAGTCACATCTTCCTTGTCTTCTCGTATCATTGCATGTTCATGTTCATGTTCAGGCTCTGTATCCATACTAGGTGTTGGGAGGGAAGGCAACAAACTTTTTAGGGGCATATATACTTGCGTTTGCCAAAGGTTCTAAGGGAATACTGTATCCCTACAATGTTGAAAACCTTTTTTACATCCCAGATGCATACTTGTGTACGTTTACAAAACACATAATGTTTTTATAATTATTGTGACCTATGTGTGCTATAAGCGCGTGAGCGATAACACAGATGTTGTGACCTGTGTGTGTGTGTGTGTCATGGATGTAGGGATGGTGAAGGAGATTCTTGGGACGTACAAGATACAGTACCATCCCGAGGAAGATAATCTGGACAAGGTGTGTATATCCATACCCGAGGATGAGTTTACATGGTTTTAAATTCTGTCGATTTTACCACACAACAAAAGATTGCATGCGCGTTACTGGGCTGGCTGGTTCCTTCCGTTAACTACGTTTAACTCCCTCTACGCACTGCTGAGTTCGCCTTATTATGCCATTTCTGTGTTATTATAGGTCTTTGAAGTGGATTTCACTCCTCCGTTTCGCCGTATCCCGATGATAGCAGAGCTGGAGAAACAGCTGGGAGTCACCTTTCCCCCTGCCTCCACTTTCGGCTCCCCTGGTATGAGACACAGCACCACGTGTGCATGCTTTTCTGCATTGTGCGTTCATGTGTTGTGCATAGTCATAACCGTAGAAAATTGGGAGACCGAAAAATTTCGTATTTTTGGTGACCAACTGGAGCAAGGGACAGTCGAACCAACAATTCTGAAAACTTTGACTATGGCTGGAGTGTGCAGTGCAAATGATCTAAGGAGTGAATGCGTTGTGCAATTAAATAATCCTCAAGAGTAACAGCAAAAATTAGGGTGGTCTAAACTTTAGTATTTATATATAGTGAGCAAGTGAAGAAAGGGACAGGCCAACCAACTATTCCGAACACCTTGGCAACAGCTAGAGTGTATATACTGTGGAAATAGCCTTTATTAGAGAATTGCATTTCACACGACCACAGAAAACTATATGTTTAACTTTCCAGAGTTCCAGAAGTTTCTGGATGAACTTTGTCTGAAACACGGAGTGGAGTGTAGGCACCCCAGGACCTCAGCCAGACTACTGGACAAGGTAACCAATAGTGGGCGTCTATTACTATATATGCATGAACCATACAGCATAATCACATGTTAGGAGAAGAACGTTTGTTACTGCATACACTACTTCTCTTTGTCTTCACTGTATATATACACAGTTGGTAGGGGACTTCATTGAGGTCCAGTGCATCAACCCCTCCTTCATAATGGACCATCCCGAGATCATGAGTCCTCTGTCAAAGTGGCACCGCTCCATCCCCGGCCTCACAGAGCGCTTCGAGCTCTTCGCCTGTCAGAAGGAGATCGTCAATGCCTACACGGAGCTGAACGACCCGGTAGTGCAGAGGGAGAGGTTTGCACAGCAGACGCAGGAGAAAGCCAAAGGAGACGATGAGGTAAATGAAAGCACTGAAGTGCAAACCCTCGGCGAACTGCGCACGCGCGGTACCACTAATTGATTGGCTGGGCTTTTAGTACGCGTTTACTCGTGGTATCCACACAAGTAGCTCGCGGAGAGTCTGACACGGACTAGCTACAGTAGTAGATAGCATGCGAGAGTCGATACACGCCCTTCGTTGACTTCTTATGCCTTCAAGATACACAGAGCAAGCTGCCCGGTCGAGGTAAGCCTGTGCTAAATATAAGCACATGCGCATTTTCTGCGGCGATAAAAAATGGCCGACTACGCATTAGCCGTACAATGGTGGAAGCGCTCTAGCTTTGCAACGAAGCATTTTCAGGGAAACCGTTCGAAATTTCTGACCTTCATTGCCCGTTCAGTAGGTGGTATCCTTTGTGAGACGAACGAACACTCGAGAAGTGAGATGAAGAGTAACAGACAGATACACAGACAGACCCAACTACCGTAACCCTCGCTGCGCATGCGCGCCGAGGGTTAACTACGCACGAGATCTTGGGGAAAGTAAAGGTTTCCTTATTAGAAAGGTGTCTTCATTTCACTGAATTGAGGATCTGACAGATGCAGTTCATTTGCCATCCATTCCTTGTGTTGACACTGTGTGATGCATGACTTTAGGCTCAACCAGTGGACGAGAACTTCTGCACAGCTCTGGAGTACGGACTCCCTCCGACTGGTGGGTGGGGCCTCGGTATTGATCGTCTCACTATGTTTCTCACCGACTCAGCCAACATAAAGGTCAGACTTTTGTTATCCTGCAAAGATTTTTGAAGTAATAAACGTAATACAAAAAGAGACACTGACTGGGGAAAGCCTTACATGTTTTAGGCTTTAATTGTGTGTTTTTGGCAAGTGTATGCAGAAATTTCAACAGTTTATTAACCCTCGGCGCGCATGCGCAGCGAGGGTTACAGTACTTGGTCTGTCCGTCTGTCCGTCCGTCCACGTTTTCTGCCACCACACGCGACAAACAGGTAAAATAGCGACACCAACTGGTTCAGCGCTACACCCGCTTCATTTTTAAAATGCCGATTTTTGTAAAAGTGCCGCGTTCAGAAGTTATGGCATGAAAACCAAGTGAACAAGCCAATATGCAAATTAGCACAGGCTTACCTCGACCGGGTCCGCTTGCTCTGTGTACCTGTCACAACGAAGGGCGTTTATCGACTCCCGCATGCTATCTACTACTGTAGCTAGCCCGTGTCAGACTCTTCGCGAGCTACTCCGGGAGTAAACGCATAATTATATACTACAAATAGCCCAGCCCATCAATTAGCGGTACCGCGCATGCGCAGTTCGCCGAGGGTTGCACTTTAGTGCTTTTCATTCCATCTGCAAGTATACTGAATAAAATCAGCGCAATTCTGACAACTACGAATCTCACTTTGCTTGCCAATAATGCTATGAGATGACCTCACACACACACGGACACTGCAGGAGGTGCTGTTCTTCCCAGCCATGAAGCCAGATGATGGATCCAGCAAGTCAGACAGTGCGGCTGCTGCAGCTGTCCCCCAACCTCCTCCCTGTAAAGACTAGACTGACTGCTTCATCCTGAAAAAGATTGGTCTCAATCTAGTGTCTTTAAATTAGTGTGTGAGTCCTTAATTTATGATGTTGATGATGACTTTTACAAGAGCTGTCTGCGTGTGTGAGCATGCGCTCCTGAACGTTTTGCGTAGAGAGGCGGGGCTGGTGTGTTGCGTAGAGTATGGGACGCGCATGCAGGCTTACTTCGGTGTCGCGGGGTTCTGGCGGGTGGGAGGGCAGGAGCAGGCTACTGGCGAGTCTACAAGCAGCTCGAACTCAGCGCGAGTTTCGAATTTCGACACGAGAATACAGAAGTTTTCAAGTCTGACTAACTACATAGCTTGGCAACTACACCATACCATGATGATTATACACAAAGCTACTGCAACAATATCCCGTCTATCCCAGATTTTCTCTGAGTGCAGTAGTTGTGTTGTTCGCCTTGCCTTGTCACATGTATCGATAAGCTATACACGTAGCTATGTACATACAATGTCCCTGACACATCTTTAGGCCAATAGTGGAATTTTCGATGTATTGTTATTCTCAGCCATCCACACGATCACACACCCGTCGGTAAAAGAATTCCAGCCCAACCATCCCATTGCTATCTGCATCAAGTTGTAGTTGTGGGATGTGAATAGTCATGGAGGCAATTACAGCCTCAAACTGTTTGAAAGTCCCTTCGGCTTCTCCACACAGCGAGCCCGTTTTGCAGGTTTTCGCGTAGAAGTGGTAATGAACCGGGGAGGGTGGGTCTTTGTTCGACAGACCTACGGATGTAATGGCGATCTTGAAGGTGACCACATCTCCTTTCATCCGTTTGAATGAGAGGCTAAACGTCCCAGGAAATTCTTTTGGGACGGCGTCGGCGTATAACGTGACGACAACGTAGTCAAACACAGACGCACTTCTCTGAAGCGGGTGTCGGGGAAATGTGCTTGCCCTCCTAACCCTCTTAGCGCTTATCGCATGTTTTAATGAATGACGTAAAAATACAAAAATGATCCTGGATTAGAACTTGCATTTTCCGTGTACAACACCTAGCGCTTATCCAACGGCGGTACGAGCAAAAGTGTAATACAAAGAAACTACCAGTAGCCAACAACGAGCCTATACCGCGTTCCGCGGCAAGAGAGCTAGAGTCCTAGTGGCCATCCGGATCCTTGTACAACGAGATCTTGTCTTCACACCAATCACTCAGGCAGCGCAGACGCTCGGTAAAAATCTGCACACACGAGGTGTCTAGATCACGTCCAATCAGATCGCAGACCCTCTATCATGTGACATGAAGGTGATCCGCGCCGCCCCGGTTCTGGGCATGCGCAGCTAGCTCCGAATAAAATAGCGCATGCGCACTGCTACGGCCGCGGGCGCACAAGCGCATGCGCTAGGTCTCCGCTGAATTGAACAGACTCGTCCTCCACATGAGTAAGTATACTGCAACAAGGTGAGTTTAGTTCTCAGTCAGCTAAGCGTTAATCGCAGAAAATGCATGACTCAAAGTTGACACATGCAGCACAACAAATCGGGAAATGGGGTGGACGGTCATATATATATATATGTTGTGTATTGTCATTGTCTGAATAACGAAGATGGGATATGAGAGTAACAATTCACACGAGGGAGAAGATATAGAAAGAGTCAGAAATGAGCTGACACTTTGTCGACTTCTTTCAAGTCTTCCAGGATCTGACCGACAGAGGTGCCAATCTGCTTGGCAAAGTCTGCCTTCTCCTTCCTGCTCAGCTGTATGTACCTCCAGAGGAGTTCGCCGTCCAGTATCCTGTGCTGGGGACTGCACCAGAAAATTGGTTGTCAACTTGATTGTCAAGCAAAGTGAGCTTAATTTGGTCATCAACCTGACTTAGGCTAGGTTCACAATATTTAGCATTGCCCCGTCGCGTCCTGCCGCGAAGATAGAAACGGCCTCGCGACTCAGCAACGCGGCACGGTGCGACAGGCAATGCGAAATTATTTTGAACCTAGCCTTAGTCATCTGAAATGCACGGGTGATGTCTAGATTAGAGAGCTAAGAGGGCTGAAATGCACAATGCCGTGCGTACGCGTGTGCACGTGGGACTCTCACCTGCGGGTTGTGGGGAAATCCTTAATGCATGGACAATGCGGTATCTATGAGAACGAGTAAGCTAGCATAGAAACCTAAGAGTGTATATAACCTAAAAGCCTTGGGGTTGAGGCCGGCATTGTGAGGCAACCCCTGGACCAGTTTGATCTGGAGCATCTTGAGACGACGGAACGGGGAGAGGTAGCAAGTAGCCCACCGAACCATCCAGGGTTGCTACAATCATTACAAACACACGTACTACACAAAGCATCTTTGAAGCATTATACTTTGTTTTCAAGTAAGCACAACAGATTTTCGTGGCCTTCTTGCATGCACATACAACGGCACAAATTCTGTTTTCATCACAATAAACTTTGCTCCAACAAAAACTTTGCTGTATAATAATAGTACGATGAATGGTGTTTTATGCCAAGATAACCAGTGCTCATAGTGTGGCCATTCACAATGCATACACGAAACAGCAAAATACCGAAGTAAGTGGTGTGTCTTCTGTCCTGCATGAGGACCTGCATCTCGTGAGGAGAGCCGAGTGGAGCTGAGGTGTGGCAGCGTAGTCTGAACATGACGTTGACGTGAGACCCCACATTGATGTCTCCCTGTCTAATGAGGTACTTCCCTCCGCCGCTCTCTGGAGCTACAAATAGAGGAAAGAGGTCAACTAGTGCCTTTGAAATAGCAACGAATAGCTCTGCCAATAGCCTTAATCACACGGCACCGCACAGCAGAGGAGACAGAGAGGGAGACTATAGCTAGTGCCTTTGAGACACAGTTCCACCTCACAACCACAGTAGAGCCTTGGCAGCATTACACGGCATGTATGTATATAGTGCACTTTAGGCTTGTACAGTAACTCAGTTTTCTCTCCCCGAGGGCTATGGCTTCGCAAACGGTGCTCACCTTCAGGTTGGTACTGGTATATGATGAGGTTCTGATCAGAGTCTGACACTGCACGATGAAGTGAGGGAGAACACAGCGATTAATGATAAGGGGAGGGAGTGTGCACTGCGATCTGGTGCACGAGACACAGTGGTAGTATTGATCTTACCTACTATGCCCATCTGGTTTCCATCTATCAAGTATTCGTTGGCATGCACGTCCACTGGATGTGGGTCCTACAGCACACACACACACACACACACACATTACAAACTGTGTGATGACAAGAGGTGGAATACTGTACCTGGCTGACAAGGGAGAGGGTCCTCCTACTTTCCTGCATTGAAAGATGACTCATGTTACAGGATAGTTAGTACTGCAACCCTCGCTGCGCATGTGCGCCGATGGTTAAATAATTATAGTTCCATAAAGTTGGAGGCTGATCATACTGATTCATCTAATGCTAGTCTTCTTCAAGCTACACAATAGTGTCATGTTCGAGGAATATCAGAAGCTGTACCTTGACAAGGAGGTGAAGGAACTAGAGAGAAAGCTTCGTCCTCCCATGCCTTCCGTCACATCCACATTTGGCAACTTTCCATCCGTGAGCCTCCGGCATCCAGAGGAAGAAGAAGAACCAAAGGTAAAGATGAGTCTCCCCATTCTGGTGAAGTCTCTGGACCGGACCAAGGAGCTCCTCATCAAGCTAATCGAGGGGAACGCAACCTACAACGAGATAATAGCCGAAGGTAGGCTAAACCTTGAGAACCTTGACATCGATCGAGAGTTTGAGATTCTTGCCGACTTCATACTCCACCTGAGGCACACGCTCAAGACTGAAGTTGGACTGGAGGGGGTACGGTGTATGCTGGAGCTTTTCCAGTACCAGAGACACATCATAAAGATACGTGACGTCTGTGAGCAGTACAAGCTGAAGGGCTGCCTGGAAGACGAGAATCTGCAGGAACTGGTGGAGCTAGCCGAGGATTTAGACCAAGACAAAAGCAGGCGAGAGCTTACGCTCCACGAAGCTGCTTCGAAATTGGATCAAGTGAAACAACTTCTCTTTGACGGTGAAAGGGCCGGGAGCCACTGCCTAAAGCTTTTCAATGCAGTCGCTGACAGTGCGGCGTTTTACCGTTTCATCAAAGAGAAGTTCAGTTGAGCTCAGGGCCAGCCAGTATTCACCCAACAATACCAACTCATTGAAGCTCAGTTCCAGATCATCAATGATCTATCTGCCGCCTACAAGGTCATGCTTCCGTTCATGAACACAGCGCAGGACTTTAGCACCCTGATGGAGGCGGTGGTTGGACTGGACACATCGAATGCTCTAAAGCAGTTGGAAACAGTCAACTCTAACATCATTCTCATTCGACTATGGTTCTCCAGAGCTGAGGTAGCTATTGCTTGTG